TTTGGGGAAGACAATCAACAATCGGATGAATAATGAAGTCTTCAGTGCTTTACAGAATCGATTCCTGAGAACCTATGGTAACGTATCTATTTCAGATATAATATTGATAAAAAGTTACATCTTTAGCGCTTAGGGGTTTGTTATTGATGTTGCCTAGCCTTCATATTCATCCTATTGAATTTTGAAAGATAAGCCTTCTCTGTCGACACTCTTTCTGGTACCTTCGGTTGCTTATTTTTTGCATTTTCTGTAGGAATAATTCTGATTTTAGTGTTGAGTCAGCAAATCACACCTCTACAGAAACTCAACTTTGGATATTGGAATAATGTCTACTTCAAATTAATGTCCTTCAGATCTACATTATTAAGGAAGAAGTTGTGACTTCCCAACGATACACTTGTTATGGTGCTCAATTTCCAGTCATTGATTTGACTGAATTATGCAGTCACTCTTGGCTTGTGTACTACTGAACGGGTGCCTTGATACTATAAAGAATTTCACTTCATCGTAGTGACGGACAGAGGCTACATATGTGATCCACAACGCATGTTTCGTCCAACTCAAGACTTGTTCGCTGAATACACACGTGTTAGGTGCAGACTTCCATTCTCTTTGAGGATATATTTACTCACTGGAATGAAATCAATTTCACACTAAGTTATTAGTAATTTTTTTGAAACACTGATAATGCAAAGGGGATACGTTAGGGAAACTAAGTACATATTTTTGCCTATAATGAAGAAACATGAACCATATTTCCACACAAAACACTTCAATTATTCCATTTTATGCATACCGAGATTTATACAGACATAACAACTATCTGATAGTTATTGAAATTATCAAAGATTGCCGTGGTTCAGTAGATTGTGTTATTGATCCTTGGTGATAGATGAAGGTAAAATGAAAATTTAGGTCGTGAAAAAATTCCAACTAGTCATCTACGAGTTACCAACATCACTTCCAATAGTATACCAAACTACGACTATCTCACATACTTAATGATTATTATGATGCTCACTTGCTCTAATTTGGCTCGACTGGAACTGAACAACAATGTATCTACGGAGAACGGATAGTGATATACACCGAATTCGCATTTGTCGTCTTGTACTCGACGTTTTAATAGCTGTACTTCAACACAACTATCTGCAGCTAAAGACACGTCAGATTACCTACAGCAAATGCTTAGTGCAGAATGGCGACATACAGCTAGCTAGCTTTGGAAATGTGATTGGTGACGAAGTAAATTTTGCAAAGCTATGTTCACAATTTTAGCAGACTTTTTGAGTTGTAACGTGCAGATATTATATCTTCTAAGACTATGTATGTTAGATAAGTAGATCACATCCTAATAGTTAACCTTGGTCATTGTGGTAGGAGTAAACCCAACGAACTCTATCACTTGTTGACGACCAAATGCGAGGTGAATTTTGAAGGTTGAGGAATCCATACCGACTAGAAGGGTAGTGTTTAACATGTCATATCTGTCTATCATTTTGTCTGCCTTCACGTTTCAACAACTACTCGTGATGCAATCCTATTATCCATCGAATTCTGTTCAGTTGACACTCCCTGTAATTACTGAATTTGATTCAGTTGTTTTCATCTGCGCTTTTGAAATTGTTACCTTTATTCTGATTGGCTACTTTTGTCTTTCTGAGGGAGTGCTACATTTTTACAGTGACGTCTTGTTAACAAACCTCAGTAATTGTGTTCTAGATAGTTTTGAGTTCATGGGTCACTTTGCCTAGGATTTAGTGATCGTCATTTTATATTTATCAGTAATATTGCATAATTAAGTCAGTTCACTATTATGAAATATTTTATCACCTAATTTCCATTTGTTCTAACAATGAAATAGGCCATACTTTATAATCTGTTGGCATTTCCTACAGAAACAAATGTAATCTATAGTATTTCTATTTGTTTGTTATATTATTTTAGGCGACATTTGAAAGTTAATGTTACATAACTTATATGTTCATTCCGATTACTTTCTATCATATCAAATGAACATGCTCCATCAGTAACTATAAACTAAGATATCGTTTCGGTTTACTGGCTTATTGAACCAGCGATAAGCTTAACCAGTTATAGTCCACATGTTATCTGTATCATTAGAGTGATAAACTATCAGATTTATTCTAATGATACCTCTGGAAAAGAATAGATTTTTACAATACATTCTGAACGATCTGATCACATTTACTTATCAAGTCAATATATATTAAACCAAAGACTGGGGGGAGACAAATACAACAATTAACACAATAGGGGATTAAAATTGAGAAAGATGAGGACAAACAGGAAGTGACATAGTTGATCTTAATCTTGCTAAGAAAACAAACTCAACCAAGATAGGTGTAGTGTAAGAACAAACTGTTTTGTACACATAAAGGTGGTTTCAATTTGTGTAAGTCTATGGCTTCCACAAATCTCAGAACACGTCACTGACTGTTTCTATATCAAATTTTTGAAAGCCGTTTGGACATTAACACTGTGATCTGCTCCTATGATATGTTTAGCTATAGATGAAGTGGGTCGTCTCCCATCAGCGTTTATCACTGTTTCACACTCCATTTGTTTTTGAAGTCATTTGGGTAGATGTTCTCCCACCCTCAACTGCATCGCTTGATCACTCCTCCCTATATATGTGTGACCACACACGCACACACATACATTTAAACTGACAACCATAGTTGGATGTGATATAATCAATGATGCGGTGTTTAGGTTTGTGATGAAGCTTGTTTTGTTTTTCTCGGTAATGATAAGACTAGCTGCGTAATATGCTTTCCTAATGGTTGATGTTAGTCTCATAATGATACTATTCAACTTCTTCCTGAATGGTAAAGTGGAAAGGACGCTTTTCTCAGGAACCGTGTATATAGTTGGCTTTTGTGCTATTCGACTTCTACAATGGTTTATAAACCTCAACGGACATTCGTTTTTCATTAGTATTTTGATCAGCAATTTGATATCTTCATCTATCGTATCTGATGTACTGCTTTAGAGCTCAAAGATGGTTATGTCTTGTTCCGCTTACTTCTTAAAAAGCGATCTTTTTAAACTTTACCTGCAACTGATTCCAACTTAGACATTCGTTATGCAGATCTATTCCATACTATTTGTCGCAGCATATTTTACAGCAGTTAACCGACAACAGAGCAAAAACCATCATACCCTTCCTGATATGATTTCATGAATTGCAAGCAAACTGCCTTATGTCAGAATAAACTCTATTAAAAACCAAAAAGTTCATTATTTTGTCTAAAAAAGTATTTTTCAGTAAATTACATTCTATTCATCTGGAAAATTCATTTTGGCTATATTTAACTTGAAGAGTGGTTTACGCTCAAAGACTTTACTGCTAAACAAAATGATACACAAACGAGAAATGTGCCATAGATAGGATAGAAAATTCCTGAGAGCATAAAAGCAATATTATCCGCTATTGGATTGTTGCTGCTCTCCACCCAAGCAAAAATATTACGCTACATGATCCTGGGGAAACCGCAAAATGCGCTGGATTCAAAGTTATGACCGCAACAGGTTGGCTAAATCCAGGAAGAACAAATCATCGCTTGATCAAATTGCAATGCTACGCTGTGTATCATCATAGAATAGATTATAGAATGGCAGTTAACTCTACACCTCAACTTCATCGACTTTGAAAAGGCCTTCGACAGCGTCAAATGAAAAGCGATTTGGCAACTGCTTCAACACATACCACATACCAAGTGATTCAAAACGGAAAGCACAGTGATGCTTTTGAAGTGAAACGAAGACGGGAGTAAGACAAGACTGCCTACTGTCGTCCATGATTTTTCTGATTGTGGTGGCTTGGATCATGCAGCAAACTGTGAGGAGCGAGAAGATGGGTATGCGCTGGACCGATGGAGAGACCCTAGAAAATTTGGATTTCGCCACTGATGATTTATGTTTAGTGTCTCACAAACTTGAAGATCTACAGGCAAAAACTAACAAGTGTACAGAAAAGGCAGCGCAGTGAAGATGAGACTTCAAGTGAATGTAGACAAGACGGAGGTGATGAACATACCCAACCAACAACAGCATCAACAACAAGAGGCATCAATCACCATCAACGGGAGAAACCTAAAGGAATTAGTCTCTTTCACCTATTTAGGAGGCAGCATCGTTTTAACTACAGACGGCATAGACATAAATGAGGATGCAAAAACCAGGATCGGGAAAGCAATACAGGTTTTCACTAATCTGAAATCATTCTTGAGATCTACTGCACTCAACACAGGCAACCAGATCAGGATGTTCAACATCAACGTCAAGTCAGTGCTCCCGTATGGTTCAGAAACTTGGTGAGTCATGAAAAGAACTTCCAACAAACTGCAAACATTCATCAACAACCGCCTACGCCCGTTACTGAAGCTTAGAAGGCCCGGAAGAATAAGCGAGGAGGAACTCTGGCCTGGTAACGAACCAACCAATGAAGAACCTATCACTTAACAAATATGAAGAAGGAAGTGGAGATGGATTTGGCATACAGTGAGAAGACCGACTGGGGACATTACGCGACAGGCAGTCGAGTGAATTCAAATGGGAAATGATAAGTTGGGCGTCTGAGGGTGACATGGAGATGATGTGAGGAAGAGTTGAAGGCTTGTGGGCAGTCATGGAGCAAGCTGGAAAAGACTGCAATAGAGGCGTGCTACTGAAGCCCTATGTTCCACTAGGAACCCAAGAGAGAAACAACTATAAAATAATTGGATTGTTTATTTCGTATAGCACACAGTGATACAGCATTATTAACTAGGTAGCTTAGATATAATATTCGGCGGTAAGCTTTGGCTGAGACGTCTTCCATAGTTACTGTTTGCCATGTGAACAATAGGTAATGAGTGTAATATGGAATTATGCTCTAACACAGTGCTCAATCAAAAGTAATATACCACACGAAGTGTCGATGACCAATATCATTGTGAAATTGTAATTTTTGTACATCCTTTATACCAATTTAGGCTTCGTATTTACCAAGAGAAAACTCATCGAGGCGCTACAAGTGTACTGGCTTTTCGAATATTACGCTCAAATGATTTTTCTTCATATAACTGTACAGTGTTTAATGATTATGGATCCGACTGGAAATTGATTACACTGTCGCACGATAGTAAGTTTAATCGTGTTTTAAATAACAATGAAAAAATGCTTTTTTTTAAATTTGATGTAAGACAAACCGTTGCGGTTAAAAACTCCTACTTCCCAACCTGTTTATGTGAATTTAATATCTAAATATCTTGTTAGAATTCGTTAAACCATTTTTGGCGTTCTAAAAAGTTTGTTGTTATGATCTTCGAAGCAGCGAGTAACGTAGAATTTTTTTTTAAAAACCCCGTAAACCCTTCGGTGATCTGTTTACAAATCAGCTTTCGACCTTTTTTCAACTAATACTAGTTATAAAAAATCGATACATAATGTTATCCGTCTCAACCTAAACTCTTTTCAATAAGCTCAGTACATTTATTTCTTGAGTTCATTGACGAAGGTCTTGGAAAGAAGTTTCTTGTAAGTAAAATTCAGGTGATATTTGAGACGATGAAACAAGAGGGGAAAAAGAGTTAAACCATCACCACTAATAATATGAAGAGTTGAATTCAATACTATTAGGGTAGGTTTAGTGCAAGTACAAATTGTCTTTGAAGTGTTGGATACCAACTACTTCGATAAGGCTAATTAATCGTCCTTGACCACATCTATACAGCACAGAAAAGGTTGTCTTTGTATCAGTCTTATGACCAGTTTCTAATATTCATTTTGCTATGAATGGGGTCGTCTGTTTCTTGAGCCCTTCGGTCATATAATCAACTAGTCTTGACTACATGTCATGGTTGCTCCTCCTTATGTATATCTGTCAACATATATAAGTAAATTGATCGACACAATGAGATATGATACACTTGTTCAAATAGTGTTTAGATTTTCGACGGAGCATGGGTACTGTCTTCTCCACTAAGATAACCTTTGCTAAGTAGTATGTCGTGCTAACAGCTGGCCTGAGCCTTTTCTTCAAAATTACGCCGTTCAAATCATGCCAGCATGACAGTGTAATATACGAATTTCTCTTAGGGACGGAGTACAGAATAATCCGTTTCTATGTTATGTCGATTGATAATCAGTTGATCAATTTTAATGGATATCCATTTTGCAGTGATGTAACCGTCAGGAATTTCGTTTCTATTTCTTTGATATCATCTGTACAAATGAGATCAAATAAGATAGTTATAATGCCATCCACATATTTCTTATGAAAGCAATATTTTCCAATCAATTTTTCGGCTTACTCCTCGCGATGTATGACTTATACGCAACAACCAGGATGGGAGGGATGTAAAGGACTACCCATTAGATCACTACCAATTTGTTGAAAATATTTCCCCTCGAATTTAAACTGGATATTGTTTGTATATGGTAATAATAGTCTTTAAGAGTTGACACTTATGTTCATCATTTTACTAAAAAGCAACAATCGGAACAAAGAACATTCCTTTTAATAAATATTCTCACCAGGTTCGCGCGTCTTCAAAAACAGTTGGACAGCGTAAGAAAGAAGCCAATTTTGAGGCAAATATATTTTCAAAACGAAAAATGAGATTAAGGGACTAAAGGAATTCCATTATTGCTTCGAAATTTAGTAGTCTTTAAGATGACATACATACAAAGCGGTTTAATGAAGGTCAACGGATGAATAATGCCTGAACATATCCTTTTTGAATGTAAAGTTAAGGTTTGATCAATATTCTCTTGACAGTTTAAACTATGTTGAGTAGGAGTTGGCAAGCTACACTTGGTGTTGCTTTTCACACACGATTGATAACCTTGAAAGTCTTAGTTAGCGCATCTTTGTGATGACTTAGGTGTTTATTAGCTGCTTTGAGACAGAAATATTCACCATCTTCAGCTTCTCTAAACCAAACTGACAAATACTCCTCTATTAAGAGACGATATACAAATTCCTTTTAAAAGCTTAGAACCATAATGAAAATCTACGAAGAAGAACACTCTGTTCAAACCGCAAATTTTTTTAAATCCAGGATGTTTGCACATTATGTAACGTAGAAATTTATCACATATAAGAACATTTAACCCTCTTTTATTACGCATTTGTTGCCGGATTTCATGTATATCATGGTTTTACTTTTCATTTTGGTTTGTTTATAAGAAATGCCATACAGCGAAGGGACCGTATCATTTACTCGATAACGTTTTGCACACAATTTATTGTCCATATTCATATCATATAACCCAACATCTCTCAGACATAGTTTATATACTTCCAATTTTCTCTCCTTCTCTGTCATGACAAGGGTAGTAGAATTTTCCAGATATCTACGACAGGTGCAAAACCATTTTTATTACTGCATATATTTGGTGTTGTTTCGATAAACAAAGATTTGATTATCAACCTCTCACTCCCTTCACTCAACTTAACTGGTTTTCAAAACAATCGTTCTGCCACTACCTACTGTGTGGTTGCGTACGATTGGATGCATAGCTAAAGCGGAGCTTTTTCCTAACTTTCTTATCTTATTAGGATCTGCTAATCTTGATTTAGTCAGGTTTTGTGCTCTGTTATTCTAATTCATACTGTCCGACTACTTTCACTTGCAAATCGGGCCTTGTAATCATTTCAAGGGATTTGGCAAGGAAAATAATCTTGTCTAATTTGGTCAACTGGATGTTTCGACCTACAAAGCTGGTTTCCAAGTCGGTTTGTTGGCATGTATTCCAATCTTATCCCACTGTTATAGAGAATTCTTCGTAATGCTTCCGAGGTGCCTTCCTTATATGGTTATATATGAGGGGCTTTGAATTCTGTCTCCCCCTATCACCACTGTTACAATTAGTAGTAGGACTATCATTAGTAACACCTATGTTGCTACTACTACTGCTACTCATATTTTTCCTCCGATTTATTTGTAGATTGATGTTGATAATTATTGAGATGCAAGATATTCTTGATGTGTCTGCTTGTCGTAAATTTCCTAACCTAATAGTTAGCTTTTTCACCTTCTCACTTATGCATTTGACTAAGCCTACCTCAACTGAGATGGGGTGAGATATTTTGAAGTCTAGGTAGATATTCCATTGGAAAGGTTTCCTAAAGCCACTAGTCTCCAAATTTCCATTTGTTTTCGTTTAAACTTGCTATCCAACACTGCTAGCTCATCTTCATCGCTTTCTAAGTTACAGGCAAATTAGATTGTATTCACTCATGAGTTTATATGTGCCAAAAACCAACTGATGTTTTCCGATTTCAGCACCATAAATGTATCATATACACTTTATTTGTTACTTTGCTTATGTGTGAAAATACCGTATTTGTGTGGGTCTCCTTTGTTGTATGTATTGAATGTGATAATAGCTTCAGGTAGCAATCTTTCTCTGCAGTGTAAAAACAGGATTCTAATCAGTGGCGTCTTTTCATCTCGTGTTGTCGACAGTGTCTTCATAATTTCTTTATGCTGAAATTTCCCAGTATATTCACCCTCAACCTGGCTTCCATGTTGATCGAATCAAAACCCACATCGCTGATGACTTGTGCCTAATGCTGCATAAACTCGAAGATCTACAGGCGGAAACCAACAAATTGACAGAAGAGGAAGGGCAGCGAAGACGGGTGTTCAAGTGAACGTAGAGAAGACAGAGGTGATGATGAGACCCGACCAACACCACCACCACCAATAACAACAAGCTCCAATCAGCATCAACGAGAGAAACTTAGAGCAAGTAGTCTCTTCTACCTACCTTGGGTGGCAGCGTCGTTCCATCTACAGGCAGCGGCACAGACAAGGACATCAAAACCAGGATCGTAAGAACAGCAAGATAGGCGTTGATTAACCTGAAACCAGTGTGGAGATTTACTGCACTCAGCATGTGGAACAAGATCCGGATTTTCAGCACCAATTCAGTCAAGTCTTTTTATCTATATAGTTGAGAGACTTGGCGAGTTACGAATGGCATTTCCAACAAACTACAGACACTCATCAACAACTACCGCCCACGCTCGCTCGATACTGAAGATCAGATCAGGAGAGCAGAAAGAATAAGCAACAAGGAATTGTGGCCTGGCAACGAACCAACTAAGCAAGAACCCATCGCTCAACAGACATACAGAAGGAAGTGGAGATGGATTAGACATGCACTGAGAAGGCTGACTGGGGACATCATGCGCCAGTTATTCGAGTGGAACCCAGATGGGAATCGATGAGTTGGACATCCAAGGTGACGGTGACATGAAGATGTTGTGCGGAAGAAATGAAAGCTTGTTGGTTGTTATGCAGCCAGGTTCAAAAGTTTGCAGAGAACAGAGTGATATGGAGACGTGTTACTGAAGCCCTATATTTTATTAGGAACCCAAGGGAATAGTCATAATAATAATAATAATAATAATATCTACTCATGAACCGATTTTCGTAGCTCAGCTGGTAGAGCATCGGGTCGGAAACCTGGTGGTCATTTATTCGAATCTTGCCAAAGTCTAAATTGTTATTTCATCTTCAAACATCATCCAGTATACTACTTTTAACTTATTTGTTAATATGACCGTTGAAGTGATCTAATCAATATCTGATACAATCTATAATTTTGATTGAAATATTACCAAAGCTTAAAAATCTGATCACTTTTAGTTACTATACATTTTAAATTTATTTGTAACCGGAAGGGAAATATGAATTTACAATAAATTGATACTTCAAAAATGACGCAGTTTAGTAAGTGCAACCTTCCTAGATATCTTAAACACGATCAGACAGTTCTACTAAGAATATTCATCACCTTCCAGTTAGTGTTGAAATTACAATAAAACCAAAATATGAATATTTTATACTGAGTCCATAGGAAATTAACTATACTGGAAAAAAATTAAATTGCATAAAATGTTTATTTATTTTTTTCAATTATATTAAAAATATTTCATTTTATAATTAAAATATCAAGGTAATTAATAAATAAAATTCATATTCTCATTAAATTTTATGACAAAAGAGAAAAATAACAGTTACCACAATAAATAAAGGTTCATTAATAAATCTTTCTGAGTACACAAGTCACGTAGAAAATGTTTCATGGTGAAAGCTTCCGAAAACCATAATTGATATAACGTTTTTTGCCCATAGATTATCTTGAAGCATTAAGAAACATGTCTATATAATGTCTTGTTTCCACACAAAATAAACTGGAACAGAAAACTCACTAAGTGTACCTTAATAGCCATAAAGTTAACACACATACAAACACAAAGTTATCTGATCACTCGTGTAAAAATCTTATTTTTTACTCAAAGGAATAACATACTTTATCATTGACTTTAGAAGTAGTATTCATCATAGAAGGACATCAGTTGGGGAACCATTGAAAATCTGGGAGCACTGGACACCTGTTTCGTCCTAGTATGGGACTTTTCATCAGTACGCATCCACGACAGTCGCGCTGTGTCGTGAATTGACAGAAGTTGGAAATTGTGAATCACTGGAGACCGACCCAGTGGCTAAATGCTTAACGTGTTCGCCGTGAAACCTGAAGGTCCTCAGTTTCACCCCTAGCCGGGTCGTGGGTGCGTACTGCTCAGGAGTCCCATACTAGGATGAAACAGGTGTCCAGTGCTCCCAGATTTTTAATGGTTCCCCAACTAATGTCAGTCCATGATGAATACTACTTCTATATATTTTTGCCTAAGAGTTTCTTTTACTTGTTTTTTCTCTTCACCCCTTGTTTCGAATATACTAGTGTTTTATTAAATATTTGACAAGATTTGATTAAAATTAATAAAGATTTTGTTAAATTACTGAATAATTAAGTATATGTAACCAGTTCTATATCAATACGTGAATAAGTTGAAGGTGTTTTATTTGTCAATGGTATGTTGAATATCAGACAGGTAATAAGTTTCTGACTCTATTAGTTTTGAAGGTATAATGGATTAACGTAAACGTTCACAATAATAACTATAGAGAAAGAATTCAGTTCTTTATGTCACTCATGTTAATTCATGCTATGCTAGTTGAAAGTTTTACAAAATACGGATTACTTGTTCCTTTGATAAGCATACTTATACACCATACATTAAAGATGTGGATATGTAGTTGAATGTCGACTAGTTTTCTGGAAAATTTTACAAAATATGAAAAAGAAATAATGAACAACAGAATATATTTTAACGAATACTTAAAGTGTTATGAAATATGCTGACTAGTAATGATATCCAGGAGGTGTGTTCCATTCTGTTTGAGACTTTTCGGGTGATGCTATTTTTGAGTTTGTAGTCACGGGTATTGGACTCATTTTGCATTAGGGATACTATAATTCATTGCTGATGAGTCAGTCTCAAAAGATGGATGAAACAAGTATCCTGAATTTAACTAATTTAACTAATATTCAAGCATTATCAAAGCATCTACATAGTAGCCCATCTACCAACAGAAGTCGAGTAATTCGATCTAATTTACCACCGAGAAACTACAGGTATCATTAAAAAACCAAGTGAGGTACAACTGATGTCAGCAGTATGTGAATTCCGTTCTGACAATATAATTATGTACTTTGAAGTTGATGAGGATTTGATTTATTTTCGGATAGTATTCGTCATAGACTGATATCATTTGGAGAAACATTGAATACCTGGAAAAGCTGAACAGCTCTTTTGTCCTGGAGTTTAAACCCTTAACAGTACGCATTCACTACCCTGCCACACACTAAACTCTTGACTTTCAGGTGTCATAGTGAGCATGTTAGCTATTCACCCACTGAGACCAAGTTCACAAGTTAACATTTTCCTTTTCCTGCCAATTCGTGATACTGCCAGACTAGTAGTCGACATCTTTAATTGGCTGACCCCCATACGTCATGACTTCTAATTAGAACTTCGGGTTATCCATTTAGAACATTTTTTAACATAATTTTTGTTTTATTCTTAACTTTAGGCAATTGGCCACTGACATTCGCCTTTGGAAGTGGACTTGCTACACTACTGGCTGCGGTATTTGTTACAGTGATTTGCTGTTTCACAAGATATGCTCGAATGAGACGCACCAACTCAAAGAACCATTTAAAACTGCACAAAGAAGATACTAACCAGAGGAATAAAGGTGATAATGTTATTGAATAAGCTCTACTCTTCTTTATTGAACAGTTTTTTTATTTCTATCAGTGAGATTAACATTGCAGATTGGAGAACATTAGGCACTTCTGTACAAGAATTCAAAGCATTCCTGGTTTTTTTCACATTTTCATGTTTCGTGATACCAATAGTTGATTTCATGGGATATCGTTATTTCGAATATACAATGGATCTTGACCAGCTTCGATGCCGAAGTAATCTGTCAAATCTTAAGTGAGGCTGAATGTCTACTGAAAACATGACATAGGCCTTATCCAGTACGTCTACCTGTTTCGAATTTGAAAAATAAGAGTAACCGGTAAAGTGGTTGGTGAGAGCACAAGGATTATATTGATATGAAAACTACTAGTTAAAGAACATCTTCATTTCATGGTGAGATATTCATGGAATACATTTGTAGAACTTACTGGTTACTTCATACACACAATTCTCTTGAAAAAATTGGATTGGATAAAAACAAAGTAATTAAAACTGCATCACTATGTGCCATATTTAATTAACAAATCTAATATGCATTTACATTCTACTACAGCGCCAAAGATTTACACTTACAGTATAGAATAGTATTATGAATTTCTTAAAAAGACTCCTCTCACATAGTTGTTATGAAAGGGTCGTGAATGGGGGTTTGTAGGAGGAGAGTGTGTCATTTTTGACTCCCACATTATCTGTCTCAGAACCAATTCAATTTAACAATGAAAGAACAAAAATTTGGAGAATAAAATGAACTCACTTTGTTTCACTGCCTCTCATCAGATGCAAACATCCTACAATGAAATCAAATATCAGTAATAATAGTGACATAACATACTATAGATATAAACAAATAAGTGGAGATGAGAACTTTAGGATTCACAATCGGGTCAAGAAAATACAGGATTAACGGTTACAAATCTTGGTCAATACCAGTTTATATCTAATGAGACAGAAAATTCTTGAAACTTCGGTAGGGGAAGAGAACTGATTGGTAACCTAATTGTATGAAGACGACGGGAAAAACGCTAAGCTGAGTGATTGACAGTCGATAAGAAACCAATAATGGAGATTCACTGAACTCAGCACAAAGAACAACATCTGGATTTCAACGCCATTATCAAGTCAGTCTTGCTATGTGCTTAAGAAACTTGGCGCGTCACGAAAAGCACACCTAACAATCTACAGACATTCATCAACAACTACCACCTACGCTTGCTCAACACTGAAGATCAGATAAGAAGACCTGAAAGAATAAGCAACAAGAAACTCCAGGAACGAACCAACGAACCAAGAATCTATCACCCAACAAATGTGCAGAAGGCGGTGCAGATGGATTGAGTTGGCATACACTGAGAAGGCCGATTGGAGACATCGAGCACCAAGCCAGGTCATTGAGTGGAATTCAAATGGGAAACTACGAGTTGGGTATCCAAGGTGGGGGTGACATGTAAGAGGTGATGTGAGGAGGAAATGAAAGCTTGTGGTCAGTCGTGGCGTTAGGTTCAAGAGACTGTAGAGAAGAGAGTGGAATGGAGGCGTTCTATTGAATGCCTGTGTTCCACTGGAAATCCAAAGGAAAAACAATAAACAAAAAAGAAAACTAGAAACACACACATGTAAAAATTATATGCAGTTACCACAGTAAATAAAGGTTCATTAATAAATCCTTCTGAGTACACAAGTCACGTAGAAAATGTTTCATGGTGAAAGCTTCCGAAAACCATAATTAATATAACTTTTTTTGCCCATAGATTATCTTGAAGCATTAAGAAACATCTCTATATGATGTCTTGTTTTCATCCGGTACTTGGCGATATCGCTGTTAAGACCTTGCTACCTTTAAGACAGATTATATCGTCCCAAAATCAAGTGGATTCCCTTCTTTCGGTGTTTCCCATGTATTTCCTTTAAGAAACCAATGGGTACTGATCTGCTGCTGAAGGCGACATGAGCTGAGCATTTGTCTACCTTTGACTGTGTTATTGAGCTAACCGTATTATAGACTGATCTCAGTCTGACCCTAGAGAAGTTCCTTTTCGGTGCTGCTTTTATTTTTTTGCATATTTTTTTAAATGTCTTGTCACCCTTGGATGTTAGACGAAGGAAAACAAGTTCCTTCTCCGTAGTTGGGCATTTTTACCCCTCAAAAAATTCTTTTCCATCCTTCGTGATGAACTTCGGATATTCATTCTAAATAAAGGCTCTCTCAGTGGTGTTGAATTCTTTTCCCTGTTTATTTTGGGAGCATGGTGTTTTTATTCAAATAAACAGCATCCTGATGGAATCAGGCTTTTAGCTTACAGTACAGACACTACTATAATGAAAGTACTGACCAATCTACGGGTCATTCTTGTGACTGATTTTCTCACTGCACCATCACATTTTTGTCTCACACTCCGATCCAAAAAATTGAATCTATCCTCACTTTTGTATTCTAATGTAAAATTCAGCTTGATTGCAGACTTCGAACAACTTTGACACATGATTCATATTATCACAGACAACGAAAGTATTATTAAACTGGAACTAAACATCTTTTATACGGAGGAGCAGCAATATTTTGAGTTCTGTTTTCAACAGTGACACGGCGTTATCCACTAGGCCACTAGGGCAAAGTAACCATCCCTTGTACAATGGGTATTAGTCACTACTATTTATGTAAATGCTTGTAATTCTCCGTTGTTTTACTGCATTGAATTGTTTGACCTCTATTGGCATATAGGCTCCAGTGCAGATACCTCAGATGACAAGAGGTAGCTATCGTGCCTCTATAACCTATTGTTTGAAGAGATGGGTACGAGGTTAGAGTCTTGGTAGAAACAACATCACTCACTGGGGTGCAGGCACATTCATCAGGCAAGACCCAAATTGGACAGAATGTGGGTTCAGGATTCTTCTGCTAGCCACAACCTGGTAAATCACCGTAATTAACATTAGGGCAATGTCAAGGCATCCGCATAGGAGCCCATATACCAATACAGCTCAAACGATTGGAACCAGTATAACCTTTTCAGTTGTCTCAAAAAATAAGTGAGGGACATTAAAGCGTGTACAAGAGTACACGAGTGTAACTTATTCGATGGATTCAATATTTGTGGGCAGTAGGTTTTGATGTATGTATTGCATGAGAAATCTAATAACATCTTGAAAGTACTAAACTTCAACACCTAAAGTAGAGTCGAAGCGTACAGCCACCCGTCGCTCTGGTTCCAAACTAATAGTGGGGCTGGAAAAAGCTGCTTAATTTTTGTATTCTTCTTTTACTCCGTCAAGAAGACATCCCTAAAAGAAATCGGTGTTAGTGATTTCCGCCTGTTAACAGGTGACAACCTTCCGACCTTGAGTGTGTGGATAGGATCTTCTCAGTGGGCGGCAGTGACTAGGTTAGCGATTATTGTTCACAAGTATGGTTTGTGCTATTTACCGAAAAAGTGAATAGTAGTTCCACAAGATCATAGGGGCGTGTGTCTGCTCTCACCCTTGATGGTTATTGCTAGAGTTTTCAGGAAATTTAATGTACCTGACTAGTTGTATGAGTGATAAGATAGCCAACTGAATGTACCAATATGAAAAACATTCGGCGCCGTCATAATTTTGACCTCATTGTATCATTCGGATCTGTTTTGCTTTGTACCTGTGGAACCTGATACCCCTAGGATTAGGATTTTCGATGACTCCTCATTTCCAATCACTTTTGCCTACATGGGATTCCTGAAATCCAGTGAAAATGTCACGTAGTTATTTCTCAGATGAGGTGGCGTGTGCTTGGTCCTGATGGAGGTTATCTTTCATTGATTGGAGTCATCTTGGTTAGACTCTCACCTTCCGCATTACCAGAGACGGGGTGGAAGAAGCAGAAGAGTAGATAGTGTAGGGTAAAGGATGGTTGCTTCCCGTCAGTATCTGTCAGTATGTTTCACGACCTTTCGAGTTGCGTCCGGGAGATTACACAACACAATAACTTGGGATTAGGTCATGCATGACTTGGAGCTGAAACCAGTGGCAATCATGCTGCAGCTTTCTTGTTTCTTCCACTGTAAAGTGAGTGAATGCCTGCACAAATGCTGCTTTTTTATGAAGCCTTTTTCTGTTTTTGTTATTCCTACTGGTTTTTTCTGTTTTATGAATGCTAATTTATCATTCTTTATGGGGCATCTTGATGTGACCACGTTGTACTGAATTCGGACTTTAATAATATAGTGGTATAGCAATATACTCATTACTTTAACGATTGGAACACTGAAAGTACAGCACAGTGGAATATTGCAAACAATTTGAACTATGTCTATCGGTCAGCGTTGATCGTTAAAGCTTTGCCGAATATACCTACTACTTACCATGTCGAGTCTAATTTGTATGTTTGTACAACAGTAACATGAGAATTTCAACCAGGAAAGGTTTACATGTTTGAAGTAGAATTTGTGCAGAATAATAAGCTATTAACACCATACGAAAGTTAGAAAGAATAAGGTTTTATTGGATTCAGCCTTGAGCGCTAGTTTACTAGTCAAAAAAGAGCCTGGGTTTTTACAAAAAACATAAGGGTTTCTCTCTTGATAATACTCTATACCTCAATATCGCATAACTCAGTTATAATCTTTGAACTTTGTGAGCACACCTATATATTCAATTTATTTTCACCTTTCAGAAAATGAACAGATAAACAGTAATATAGAAATGAAATCAATGTTGAACTTTAAATCTTTACCATTTGATTTTATCAACTCAAGCTATAGGGAAGATGCCATTCAAAGCAGTCAGGTGAGTAAACCTCTTTATTAGGCGGTGTTTAATTTGGTATTATTAGCAGTAAATATCTCTAGATATACAGAACAAGTGCTACTGATCAACAAGATATCAGCCAATCAGGTTTATTATACATCTATGTACCCAGCAAGCGACAGCTAGGTTACACTCAGGAAAATTAGAGCTTTGTTACTGTCTGTGCACAGCCAAATAGCTCGCTTCGAGGTGTAACTCTAAAAACGGTGTTTGTCCTGACACTGAAACGTTCGTCAATCCAAATTTAAGCCCCCGAGAATAACTCATGCTAAACACTCTGCTGCTTATACTGATCTGGATGACTACCAGAAGAATGCAGAAATGGCATTTCGTCCTGTTTAAGACTCGTCAGTTAGATATATCAGCACTAGAGAGGTCAAGCAGTTAGACTGTGTATAGCATAGCAACAGAAGATTACAACTATCATAACAAATACTGATATCGGTTGTACAGGAGGAGGCTTTCGTACCTTAATAGCCTAGTAGATAACTCCTCGGCGTTTGAAGCAATCGGTACTGAGCTCAAGTCTTGCTGAAAACAACACCACCTACTGAGATGCATATACCTCCAGCTGATGAGTCCCAAAAAGGATGAAATCGTGTCTTAAATTTCTCTGCCAGTCACCAAGATCAATATAACATCATCCACATACGGGCCCATCAGCCAACAGACGTGGAGCAATTCGACCCTGTGTGTTAACAGGAAATTGCAAATATCATAACAAATTCTCCGGCTTAATTTCTGAATGGTGTTATGCTCACAGTACAGTTTTGCAGTGAACTCTGGTTTTACAGACTATTATTTTTAATATTGTTTCACCTACAATTTACTGGTGCAAAAATTATGTTCAATTGTTAGATCACCACTTTTTAATGTTAGATGGTGCGCTTCATTATTTCAAGTTGATTTTCATCACCAACTGATATCAGTTTGAGAACTGATGAAAATTTTGAAAAGTTGGAGGGTTGTTTTCTCCTACTGTTGAACTTATCAATAGCGCACATCTGTGACTCCACCCATCAGAGACTGAAACCACAATCTTGAAGCTTCATGAGGAGCATATTACCAAAGAGTCACTGAGTCAGTCCACTAGTTCATATTCTTAGACTTATGTCAGTTTGCGATGTAGTGCGGGATGCATCCAGTGGCACTGTTGAGCATCTATCCTCACACCCGACATGGTTCACCTAAGCGGTAACGACTCCTCATTAGATCTTTGAGAAATCTTACCTCGAAACAAGTCACTAATGAGCACTAAGCAGTTTAGTACTTAACACAGAACCCTTGTAAACCTAAAAGCAGTGGACAGTTGTTTTCAGAGGGCTCCTTAGCAGTGTTCACTTATGATTCCGTCAAGGAGGAGGAGTTCTGTAGGGGAGAGACACAATTGTCCCCTGCTCCGAAGTTTTCAATGCTTCGCCAACTGATTACAGTTCATGACGAATCCTGACTTGAAACTAATCCTTCCTCATAAGTCTTAGAAACAATAAAGTGAATAAGAAGCAAAAATAGTATGCTGCATTAAGTTAAGGATATTTTCAAGGCAAAATGACATCAGAATGTCTTTGGTTACAAATCATCTGACCGTGTATTTATCGATAGTTTTGGTGTTCACAGCAAATATAGTAAGGTATACAATCTGTTATCATATTAGTCGAATACCATGGCCTTGATTCCAGGTTTATCAAAAATTCACTTGGCCATTTAACCTTGAACTCACGGAGAAATCTTCAGTTCAGAATATATTCCAGTTTTATTAAAAAATTTATTCAATATGATATTTTCCTAGGTATTCGCTAGAGGTATTCTGAGTGAAAATGTCTTAAGATTTCTCGAAACTATTGTGGTGAAATATTCTCTTTCCTATTACATTACTGACAACAAGCTTTTAACAACTTGAAAAATAAACTGACGAAATGATTTTATTGTAAAACATTTCAAGCGCAAAAAGCACATGATTATCATTTTATCTATGGTTATTCAGACTATTGGTTATGATTTGAAGGTAAAGTGAAAATTTGCGCCACCGTAGAATTCAATCATTTATGATTGAAGTGAAACTGGAATATGGCCAGCAATCAAGTTTCATAGCCAAGTTAGTAAAGTACCAATCTAGATACTTTCGTCTCCCAAATTTTTATTTCATCTTCAACAAAAACGCAGTGTAAAAACATTATCTATTATATAAGTTACATTTTACCTCTATTCGTATTTATGTGAAAAATCTCAGTGTCTATCATACAGTTATTTGTTAGTTTATTGAAGGAATTATTTACCTGAAACGTTCATTTTATGAATAATATCTATTTATACAATTAGGAGTATTGTCCTGTTGAAAGTCAATACAAATCTGATAGTGGAATTTCTAATAATGAAGGTGGAGTTGTAAAACTAACAAATCATAATTTCAAGTGAGTATGAGCTTCGTTTTTTTATTTCAAGGATGAACTGTTTTCCTCAGTTACACTCCTTGTTGTAAAAAGCTTAATATTTTTATGTTGAATAAAATCGAAATGTGATTCCCTCACAAAGTTGGAATCATATATTAGTAATATTAAGATACTGATACAAAGAATGGAGATAATTCAACATTATTATATTATTCTTTGTCCCTTGGGTTCCTAGTGGAATATAGGACTTCATGAGCTTGTCTCCATTCCACTCTCTTCTCTGCAGTCTCTTGAACCTAACACCACTACCGGCCACAAGCTTTCATTTCCTCCTCACATCATCTCCTACATGTCACCCTCACCCTGCATGCTCAACTCGTAGTTTCCTTTTTGAATTCCACTCGATGACCTGGCTTGGTGCTCGATGTCTCCAATCGGCCTTCTCAGTGTATGCCAACTCAATCCATTTGCACCGCCTTCTGCATATTTGTTGGGTGATAGATTCTTGGTTCGTTGGTTCGTTCCTAGAGTTTCTTGTTGCTTATTCTTTCTGGTCTTTTGATCTGATCTTCAGTGTTGAGCAAGCGTAGGTGGTAGTTGTTGATGAATGTCTGTAGTTTGTTGGAAATCTCTTTCGTAACGCACAAAGTCTTCCAACATTATATCAACACTGACGACTGAATTGCTGTTGAAAATCCGCATGTTTTTGACGCTTTGTGCTAAGTGCGGAAGATTTCTACACTGGTTTCAGGTTAATGAAACCCTGTCTTGCATTGCTTTTCCGATCCTGGCTGGCTTTGACGTCCTCGTCTGTGCCGTATGTAGTTAAAACTATGCTACCATCTAGGTAGGTGAAAGAAACTACTTCCTTTAGGTTTCTCCCGTTGATGGTGATTGAAGTTTGTTGTTGGTAGTGGCGTTGGTTGGGTATATTTATCACCTCTGTCTTATCTATGTTCACTTGAATTCCTGTCTTCGCCTCCCTGCCTCTTCTGTCAACTTGTAAGTTTTTGCCTGTGGATCTTCGAGTTTTTGTGACACTAGACACAAGTCACCGGTAAAATATTCTAGGATCTTTTTCCTGGTCCAGCGTATCGTCCTCTTCTCGCTCCTCACTGTTTGTTGCATGGTCCAGTCCACCACAATCAGGAAGATAATCGGTTATAGTAGACAGCCTTGTTTTACTCTTTCCTGTCTTCACTTCACTTCAAAGGCATCACTGAGCTCCTAATTGTAGATCACTTGACATATGGCCTCTTAATATAGTTGTTGAATGAGATTGATAAAGGTTTGTGTTATTCCGTAGTGTTGGAGCAGTTGCCAAGATGTCTTATAAAAATTGAAATTACTGTTATAAGATCTATGACAAACATATATAAGAAACTCACTATTTTTGAACACATTTTCTCTTAGATCATTTTAGGGTTTTACTCTAATATTCATTGCTTTACACACAACATACTAACCAAACAACATGGTGTATCAATAAATGATAACAAGGATCTGGATTATGAGTCATCAGAATAGTAAAAATAACAGTGGTATAAGTAGTGGTGACCATACTGAAAACTTTTTGATAATGTAAACATACTGGGAGTTGACTGAAGGTGAAATGAAAATTTGGTCCGCGCCTGGATTCGAATCAGCAACCATCGCGTTTCCGGCACGATGCTCTACCAAATGAACTAGCTACGAGGTCTGACTGCTGACCAGATTTTTATTTCACTTCAATCACAAGTGGGGTTTTGTTCAACCACCATGTGAATATTTGACGCATTACTACCGCTCGATAGTATTCCCACTGGCAGCTGCATGGTCAGGACTTCTCATCCCAATCTAAATCTTACTGAATTAGAATGACAGGAGGAGCATCATATTAATTAGCCTTTCTTGGCTGAGGCAGACATACGTTTTTTTCAGATACAAAGAATAAGTGTGTCTCTTCAAATTACCAGTCTCAGCTACACATACGTTTCAGTGGGATGCTGTAAACGACTTTGGTTGCTTTTATTTCACACGTTGTGTGACTACCATCAACCATACATGATTAAATATAACTTTTAGTAAGATCAACGTTGTCTTTATCTCTGCTACGAAGGTAGATGTTCACTGACCCGTTAGTTGATTTGTCGACTTGTATGTATAACATAACTGTCTATACAGGAGTGATTAAATAATTGGCAGACAGAAATCTAAAACTTTTCGTTAGCTTCAGGAATTTATCAACCAAAAATCATATTGGTTAGCTACATACAAGATTATTTCAACAGTTCAAGATATTTCATACACCAAATCCTCTTTGAGAATTTAAAATACGCAGGAACAACAATGGAATAAGGATAAAACAGATCCATTTTACTCCTGTAGTATCTTGTCATCTGTTTACAATCTCTATAATAGCAAAATATAAAGTTTCACTGAACATTTAACATACTTTAATCCATTGAAAAAACAGACAGAATACTGGTCAACAGTTAAGACTGACAGATTAGATTAAACGTCAGTCATAGCATCAAACTGACGAAGATTAGTAAGTGGTAACAACTATTTACAATTACCTACTTAGCAGAATAAAAGTTTCTCGAGTAGAAATGACGATATGAGTAGCAATCGAAATATTGAGGACTTCACATTATAAGATTACTTAATTAGATCATACGATAAACCAACAAAATATTGTGTAATACTCGTCCAGTTGAAAAAGTTGCATATGAACGAGAGTTGATAAAAACAGATTAGAGAAAAGGATTAAATATGTTAGGTTGGTGAGCAATGATGCAGTCAGATAACAGTCAAGAGGGGTTACCAAGTTAGACAGAGATCAGCCATCGCCTCATTTAGATCACGGATGAGGCTCAAGGATGAGGCTTATAGTGGATATGACTTCAAGAAACTTCAGCAGAATTAAGTTCCTTTGTTTCTTTATTATCTTGAAGCAATCGAAGACGTCTGTTTCGAGTTAACTGTCAGTGATATTCTATGAGACAGGATCTCACTAGTGTAACCTCGTGAAATTATAGCCTTATGAACAATAATTTATTTTCAATAGTTCATATCTGAAGCTTTCCACTCAAGTGGTTAATCTACTTTTTTGATAAAATGAAAATAAGAAAGATGCCCGTCAGGATGTGAAAGAAAGAACAAATATCCCACTGAAAAGTTTCTTTTCAGCAATTTCATTCTCAAAGCTGTGCAGTCACAAATGTATCCTTTTTTCATAACTTTGAATGAAAAGGTTCTTGAGATAGGGTGGCCTTTGTTCACGCTGTGTTCAATTATAATATTTCTAATGGCTCCACTGTTACCTTAACTTAGTCATGCGATATAGTGCTCCTGAATCCAGTTGCATTGAACCATCTGTATATATGACTCCACGAGAGAAGGTGAATTGATATACTCACAAAAAAGTGGTCAGAGTGAAGGTTTTTCCTTCGAGTTGCTAGAAATCATCGGATGACAAGAGAATAAAAGTCTGAAAGTTAATGCACAGAATATGCAGAATGTGTCAGCTGTAGAATCATCTTTGGCACTCAGGTTCATGTAAAGTTTGTTTTTTGGTAGAGTGATAGGGTTCTTATTGCAATGTTCTGACTTAATATTTTTGTCTATGACCCACGGTGGTAATCCATTTTCACTCAGAACTTTCCTTAGATCATAAATCTCCACTTCGAACAAATTTAATGCAGGTTGCAAAAGATTTGATCAGATTCCATTTGTGACCGATTGGTACTCAGCTATGAAAGTTCGTCAGTTGACTATTTCACCTTTATTCGCCATGAATTGATTTTATTTACTATTCATTAGCTGTACTTATTAACTCTACATGAAGAAAGTGAATCAGTTTACGAAGTCAGTGGTATGTCTGATTGCTGAATGACAGCAGTTGAATGTTTGTATAGTTTGATTCAAATCCCAATAATTATCACGGACAATAAAATTAGCGTTCACCTGCCTTTCACACAGTTGGAAAACTTCAATCGTTAACTTAGACTTTCCGTTGTCCAAAATGACCACAAAGCAGTTTCCTAGTAGTAGACCCAGTGAGATCCCATAGTAATTCCATCTTTCTATTTATAAATCACATCGTTAAGTGTATGTTGAAGGTTAAATATGCATCTAAGTAGTAATTCTATAAGGTGGCTGATTAGTATATCAACTGGCACGTTGTTATCTTCCATGTATCTGCATCAAAATGAGGTGGTTTCAGTGAGTAAAACATTGATGAAAAGTGATTCGACATAAGGTGATATCATATATTCATGAGATACGTTCACTTCTCTGATACAGTAAAGAAATTCAAAAGTATAACTTAGAGAGTGAGTATTGATTCGTCTTCTAACAGGCACTAGGATTCTGGTTGACTATTTTGCAGTTAAATAATAAGGAAATCCAAACATTCTCAAAATCAGACCAAGTAAACCAGCTTCTAGAGATTTTGGCAACCTGTACTGAGGTGGAATTGTGAAACCTATTCGGTTGATGCTTTCACAGAGTATGTTGGTCATTACCTGATCATTTTCAAACTTTTCAAAGCATCAATAAGGTGTTATTCATTTATTCCGGTCTTATATTTCTCACTGGCGTTTGTGAGTACAGCCAACATTTCGTTCATATGAATATCTATACTCTTTTCTAAACATGTTATTACAAGATAATTGTTCTGTGTACTCTTTAGTCAAGGGGCTGTTGTTCTTTGATTTTTTGCTAAGGGATTGATGACAAGAGTCTGTAAAAGTCGATTTGAAGCACTAAAACGTCTGATCGAAAGTTAGGAGATGGCTCTTTTAGCTGATTGCATTTTGAAATGGACATATTATGTTGATATTTTGGTTCATATCACAAAATTTTGACCCTATAAACAAGGCCTGCAACAGTAACTTGGTTAGTGATGCTGAAGAATAATTAAGTAAAAATCTTTTGAGATCATCGGAAAAATGATTCTGAACTTCAACGGATTTAAGAATTTTTATTAGATTTGGTTACACAAGATGTGTTCGCTTAATTTTAACTGTGGTGATATATTCAGGGAGTACATGGTGTTCATTTGACAACATTTTGAAGAGAGAAGAAGATGGTTGTGATATGTTTCGTCCTAATTGTGAAACACGTCAAACGACAAACTCAAAACTATTTCAGTTATTCGTGATGCCTTACACAGTCGTATTTCAAGATGTATATAAACATTTTTGGATAAAAGTATTATCTGAATAATTGATTGAAAAACTTATACTAGTATGCGAATATCCTAACTATTTCATAATCTTTTTCAGCTCTACTAACATTCAGATTTCTGAAGGTAATGAAAGTACAGATTTTGTAAAAGAAAATTATATCAATTGTATTACATCTTCATGCCCAGAAGAGACTATTCTTCTACCTAGATTTTATTCATTAACTGAAAAACCAATATCATCTTCTATGAACAGTTCAACTGATAATCATTATCATAATCCATACTGTGAAATTCAATCAACAGATCATCAACTGAACTCAACTATAAACAATATATCTTATTTGAATACATCCAATTATTCTGTGAATATTATTCCTAGTATAAAACATTCAGATATGACATCTATAGTACATACTAATTCATGGACTTTAGATACAAGAGATTCATTGATTTCTTCGCCTCCAACACTTCCATCTTTATCATTACCCTATAATAATGAATCATCTTTACATCCTATTTTTCTAATGACATCCAACTTAAACTATTCGCCAACAATGAATCAACATTCTATTAATTCTAGTAGTACAACTGTATTAATTCCACCAGTAATTTTTGATACATCAAATAGTCAAAATATCTTATATAATCCTTGTAGTCCATCTACGAATACCTCATTTTTACTTAATACTAATAATAATATTATCCCAGATATCTCTATTATACCATTCAATGAGAATCATTTTCAACAAGAGAACCATCAACAACAGGAAGAATAAATGTAAACTTATTGATTATTTGTGAAAGTATAAATGGCATATGCGCGTAATGAAAACATATTTACTTCTACTTATTACATTAGGTATACCGATTATTTTTCTTCTGATTATTCAACGATACTTTTCCAACTGATTGTTAAAGACATACATGTTTGAATGTATTCTTCTTTTGGCTATAATACTTACCGGTATCTTTCAGTGTGTATAGCATAAAAAATAATGAAGACCATAGTAATTATTAAGATAAAAACAAAGTGTTTATTGTACAGTGGAGTTTTCTAATAAAAATATTAATGATATAAGCTGATTTTACAAATGTTTTGCTCGATAATATTAAAAGAAATGTAAGCCCAGGGAAATATTGTTACATTTTGTTTTGAAACGATTGAGCTAGAAGTGAAACGTTTGATTCTGTGATTTACGATACTTACTTATGAGTCTATTCTTCTGCACTGTTCTTTACCTATATGTAGTCAACGTAAATTAATTTAACTGACGTTGGGAGAACTTCAGATGACTGTTTATTTCACTCACTGCATCCACTAAAGCGTATGTATGGTTGAAGAAGATATATAAGGTAATATTTCACCAATTTATCTACAATATGTATTACCAAATACAAAATACATATTTATGGTGCATTGTAGAAGTAACTTTTCCAGATTAATTTCTGGTACTCCAACATTATTCTGTTCTAGTAAAGATGGATAGTGGCTAGCAGTGGAATCCAGTGGGTGCATTTCGTCCTATTTAGGACTTGTCAGTTGGATCTACCTGCCCCCCAGTAAGTGATGTTGTTCCCACTGGGATTCGGACTCGGGAGAGATCGCTTCGAACGCCAGAGTGTTATCCACTAGACCACCAAGCCACAATAGCAACTTCTTGTGTGACGGGTATAGTTTACGTATAATTGCTTATATTATACCTTCTCTGACTGGAACCAATTGATCAGTCTGCATTTGCAATTCTCGAATACGAAGGAATTTGCATCCTGGATTCCACTGCTAGCCACTATCCATCTTTACTTTAACTAGAACACAGGTACCAGCGAGGCATTCTCATAGAAGCCCGTATGCCAGTAGAGACCGATTACTTGAGTGCAATCAACGACAGTATAATACAAGCAATTATACTAATTAGTCTGTTCTCCCTGGACCCAATAATAAATGAATTCTACTCTTTGAATAAGTGGTACATTGGGGAATAAAGAAGGAATATACATCTCGTTCATACTGATGGAATCACCATTGGTTCATATTTAAAGTAGGTACCATCTGATTCCTTTCTTGCAAAACTTGAGAATGGACCACTGAAGGATCTCATCGATAATCCAGATGTGCATAAATTTTCTGTTTACGACACTTTCATTGTCCATGACCAAAATGTCGACTAAAGTGAATTGTTAAGGAAATTCAATGACGAAAATCCTTCTCTCACTTTCACTTGTGAAGAACAACACGAAAATATGCTACATTTTTAGATGTCTTATTGATTAGAAGAGATGATGTGTCACATACATGGCTCAGTGTACACATCCCCCTAGCTTTGTGCCTATTCGATATGAAGTAAGCTTGATCAAATATCTTACAAGCGGGGATAGAAGGGTCTGCTTCAATGATTTGATACAAAATCAGTTAGAATACATTCATGATACGCTGCTAGAAAAAGGTTATCTCTATAGTGTTATTGAGAGACACATGGACAAAAGGAGTGAAAAATTTCAACAGATGACTGTTGAAAAGAAATCGCCATTCATGAAACCCCAATTTAAGAGAGTCGCACCTGGTGCAGTTTTATTCCAGAAGTAGTCTAAAGCCATCAGTAGAACTTTGCATGCTACACAACTTTGTTCATCATTTTCTAGTTAGCTGGTAATTTCTACTCAGACGAAAGGTAAGCTGTACTTCTTCATGTATTTATCAATCCACCTGATTCTGTGAAGGAATTTAGATCGGGCTTATCACTAACCAGCTTAGCAAACGTGTTGCTGAGCACCTACTGTCCTGGCTAGGAAAGGGACGAGTTAAGTCGATACAAAGAGGGTTCAATTCTGTCACACTTGGTTGACAGTGGTCATGTTATAGATGAGACCAAACCGTTCAAAACCATCTACCACATTCTACAAAATCTTTCGAAAGTAATTCGTACTTGGATATTGCACATAACTGAGATTATGGGAATTGGAGAAAATAAACCTAGTTATCATGTGCCGAAAAATTTGTGCATCTTTTATCTCTGCCTTGATCAGAGAAAAATTAACAAATGACCTAAAAGATTAGCTCAGCGTTTTTACTCTTCATTGTCACTGACCTTTCTAAACACATATCTTATCTGCTTAGACTAATTATCAACATAATTAATCCATTAGTATTGTGCAACTTTTACGCTTCCACGTTTTGGCCTACACTGACTGTTTACATGTCTGCAGCATTATTCTGCTCCCATTGTAGTGGGCGTTGCTGATCAGAATGGATATAAGTAGTATATGTAAAGGAGACCGAAATCATAGGGAATGACCAGCAATGAGTAAAGAATCTGCCCAGAGAAGCGCAAGAGACAATGTGGGCGTTTTAGGAGCTAATCGAGATAGAAGCAGAAGAGGAAATAAAAAACATTGTGTAAATGGCTGTTTAGTAGAAAGTGTACAATATTTGATGACTACTGTACAAGGTGTCAATAATGAACATTCCTCCCTGAAACTGCATCCTGCCGTTTCCTACAATCGGTGTCGCTAGCAGGATGGACGTGATGAAGATTCCGTTGCCTGCAGTGTTCGAGGATGAAGAGAGCAAGGTCTTCCTCAGGGACTACAAGTCGGTCGAGTAGCTGTTATGCGTCCGGGACCCATATGAGGAGGTCGTGGTGCTTGGCACGTTACTGAGGGGTGCAGAGAAAGCTACATATAACGGCGTGGAATGAGTGGACATGAAGGAGACTTGGCAGAGAATGGTTGTTAGACACTCAAATGCACTTCACTCAGTTTCATAGTTGAAGACGCTTTCAGTATGCTTGTTTCATTACTATTGGCCATTCTATACAACACACAAAGTGTGCTCATACATCAGGAAATGTCTGTTGATGTCTTTTTTCACATTTTTGGATCTGAACAGGATTATATCTCTCATATTTACAGTACCACGGTTGACTTCGATAGCCTGACATCATAATGGCCACAGGTAATCTTTTGTGTTGCAGCGGCAAGTGAAGAAGATTTCACTCTCTGAAAGAACATGAGATTCCTCAGAATTTGAATCCTTTAGCGTTGATTAGTACGGACTAGAGAGAAAACGACTACCAGGGTTGGATTTTTATTGCCATAGCAACCCAGTCTAAGGTAGGTCCCAAATAGCCTACAAATTATCACCGTCTCCCTATTGAAGTTAAATTCAAAAACATTTTCTTTTATTATCCGTATTCAGTAAACTCAAAGCAGAAATATTACAGGACAAAAACCTCATACGTATATTGGAAGGGTAAGACTTATGGACCGCTGTAGTTCATAATGGCATGTTAGTTTTTTCGAATATATTACACAGAGTGAAACAGTATTATTTACTAGATGACGTTTGAAAAAGAATTTTTTGTCCGGGGCGAACTGTTCTTTGGGCTACAGCTTCAGCTAGTAAACATTTCACTGTCACACTGGACATCGAAATCAATGCACCAAAGCTTCTTAAGGAAGTGAAATAATCGTTAGTGCATGGATTTGTATAACTTACTAGTTTGCTGTAGTATAATTTAACTGGTCACATGATGGATACGTTGGCGTTTGTTGAACCTGACTAGTTGACTTTCTGCCAGTAGTTTTCTCACAGTAATATAGAGTTATTTGAACGGTTAATTTCTGTTTGCATACTATAAGTTCGAGTCACCTAGCTGTGGTTCATCAATTCTATTTGCTTGGATGAATTCATGAAGTTCATCCTGATCTGATTAGTTGACTTGCATCCGCTGAAGAGTAATGGTGCATGCTGATCGACTGATCTGCTCCAAATGAAGAAATGCTCTTTGTGACTGTTATTTATTTGGATTTTGCTCATAGATGGTTCCTTTTGACATTGGTTGTCAGAGTAAAGATTTTTAGTGAGGTGTGAGTGAGTCAGCTTGATGCAGTTAATTGATGACACTCTTTTTGCTTGCGTCTATTATAAACTTGCATTTGAGTCGATTGACTATTGTGATTGATTTTTTTCTAATAGGCTAGCATATTGCATCCAGACAGATGCGGTAATTTCTTCTTAACCTAATCGAGCCCCATGTTTTGAAGAATTCTTGGGTAGTTAACAAGTTTGCACATTCTAGTAGTTTTGAAGTTGTCTCGATCGAATGTGTGGGTGTGGTTGATGAAGTATATTGAAGTGAGTGACTTCATACTGTGATGTTTTACCGTGTACTTGTATTGAAGTAGGCGTTTTCATACTGGCCTACTCCACCTTCTCATTTAGCTGTGGTCATGGTGATTTCAAATGACTTTATGGATGACATTACCCATTTCTTTTTAGGTTGGTCTTCATCATAGACTGACATAAGTTGGAGGAACATTGGAAACCTGAGAGCACAGGACAGTTTATTCCTCCAAATATGGAACTCTTCATCAGTGCACACTAACGACCCCATCACGGATAGAACCAGCGGCCTTCATGTTCCATGTCCAACAGGTTACAACTGAGCCACTGGGTTGGAATCCAGCGGTCCATGTTACCAATTTCTATCAGTTCACGACATGGTGCGCACTGCTGAAGAGTCCCATACTAGAACGAAACGGCGATTCAGTGCTCTCAGGTTCCAAGTGTTCCCGCAACTGATGTCAATCCATGATGAAAGCCAACTTAAAATATCTCTAAATCGACACAATCCCCGCCTCAAGTTCATTTTTTTTGTTGCCTGTCTATTTTGACTTGGATGTAAAATGTTGAAGTGATTTCGATAGCCTAAATGGTGCTGCAATTCCAAGCGGGCTCAGTAATCGAGCTGTTGCTTGCGATAACATCTCTTGGTGATATTCTTCTGATGGCAAGTCAGTTGGAATATTTTGAACAAATGTTTTCTCTCAACTCTCTTTGATTCCAGTGTACTGAAGTGTATATCTGCTCATCGCACTAGCCCTCTTAAACAGGTTTTCGTGTGTGACATCAGATTGTTGCTTCTGAAATTTAGGATCTAATTCGTGTCACTTGTTTTCTGGCACATATGAGTTTCAAGGTGTCTATCGTCATTTTGTGTATTCAGGATATCCATGACTACCATTTGTCAGTAATTTTTTCATCTTTAGTGAATTACATTCCTCTGAAAACATTAATAATTAGT